AGGAGGGGGAGGAGAGGAGGGGGAGATGAGGAGAGGAGGAGGAGGAGGAGGGAGGAGGAGGAGGAGGATGAGAGGAGGAGGGAGAGGAGGAGGAGGGGGAGAGGGGAGGAGGAGAGGAGGAGGAGGAGGAGGAGGAGGGGAGAGGAGGAGGGGAGGAGGAGGAGAGGAGGATGAGGAGGAGGAGGAGAGGATGAGAGGAGGAGGAGAGGAGGAGGAGGAGGAGGCGGAGGAGGAGGAGGAGGAGGAGGAGGAGTAGGGGGAGGAGGGGAGGAGGGAGGAGGAGGGGGAGGAGGAGGAGGAGGAGGAGGAGGAGGAGGAGAGGAGGAGGAGGAGGAGGAGGAGGAGGAGGAGTAGGAGGAGGAGGAGGAGGGGGAGGAGCCACACTGAAAGAGCCACGCGGCCTCCACCCGTGCAGCTCCGGCAAGCCTCTGCGACGCGCGCGCGCGGCGCTGCGGCGAGCGCCACGGTTCTCGAACGGGGCCCGCCCTCCGCCCTGGCAGCTCTTGTGCAGACTTCTGTCGGCGAGCGGAGAACGGTATAACATAAACTTCCCGCCGTCGGGGACACCTGCCCCTGGGCGGCTGGAAAGTTTACACCCCTGCGGTGCCACCGTCAGGGTATAAACTTTCCAGCCGATCTGGGGCAGGTGTCCCCGACGGCGAAACCATCATTCTATACCGGTCTTCGCCCGTTAATTCTGCGACGAGTGAGCGCGGCGCGAAGGCGAGGGCAGTCTCGTGAGCACCGCCCGCCCCCCATCCGAGCGCTTTGGCGAGGAATGTGATGGCGGCGCGAAGGCCAGAGCCACGTTCTGAAACCAACCCGCGCCCTTCGCCCACGAAGCTCTTCAGGAGGGAACAAAAAGCACACACAGACAAAATTCATATTCGATTCCCCAGAAATGTGGGAAAATATGGGAAGTGGGGGGGAAGACGAAAACCCAGAACATTTGGGAAAATATGGGGAATCTTTTTATTTAATCGCTTCGCTCATTCCGCCGGCCCATAATGTCGCACCGTGGTCGCCTGTCCGAGTGGTCGTTTGCAGTGTGGAGCTGCGGCGTCGGGAGCCGAACGCGGGGGAAGAGGACCACCCCGACCCGCGTTTCCCAAGTCGCGTCTGGCTGGAGTCTTGGAGGCGTCCTGGGGGCCTCCTGAGGGTTTTTTGGAGGCCTCCAGAGGGCCTTTTGGAGGCCTCTTGAGGCCTCTTGAGGGCCTCTTGGGGGCCTCTTGGGGCCTTTGGGGCGAGCGATCTTCGGGCGTCTCGGACCTCTCTTGGACCGTGTTGGGGGCGTTCTTGGGGCCCTCTTGGGCCGTCTTGGAGGCCTCTGGGGCCGTCTTGGAGCCGTCTTGGGCCGTCTTGGGGCCCTCTTGGGGGCCTCTTGGGCCCTCTTGGGGCGATCTTGGAGGCCTCTTGAGCCGTTTAGGGGCGTCGGGGAACCGAAAAGGTTAAAACACCCAAATCTGTCCAAAACCAAAGGAAACACACACAGTTCTTCGCCTCTTGGGGCCCTCTTGGGAGTTCTCTTGGAGGCCTCTTGGGGCATCTTGGAGGCTTCTTGGGCCATCTTGGAGACGTCTTGGGCCGTCCGGAGGCCATCTTGGGCGTCGTGGAGCGATCTTCGGGTTTCTCGGACCTCTCTTGGACCGTGTTGGGGGCGTTCTTGGGGCCCTCTTGGGCTGTCTTGGAGGCCTCTGGGGCCGTCTTGGAGCC